AGATTTTATTTATTTTTTGCCCCCAAAGCCCCAGTAGATAGTTGTATGTCACAGCTGCACACCCTTCTAGTTGCTGTATGTGGGACTCGGCCTCAGGATGGACAGAGAAGTGGTGCCTCGATGCGCACCCGGGATCCGAACCCGGGCCACCAGCATCGCAGCGCGCGCACTTAACCACCAAGCCACAGGGCCGGCCCCTGCCATCACTTTCTTAATGTTGAGAATTGTTACCTAGAGAGCGTTTGGTTTCTGTGAGTTTTCTTTCTTCCGTTTTCACCGTGTATCAATAGACTTTCTTTTCACTGTGGTCATTTAGGCTCTACTGGATTATTTTCTGAAATCTTTTCTGAGAAAGAATAGAGCTGAGACTGGATTTAACTTATGCAACATTCCCCACAAACGTTTCAAATATTGATCATTGTTTCTAAATTCCAATAAAAATGTACTTTCGAGAAGTTCATCATAAGGGGTTAGAATACTGACCTCAGTTTATATACCTCCCCCCCAATATTTTTAGGTGACTTACATTGGAGCACGCTTTAATAAGTAGCTCGTTTTCATCATCACTCTGTGTGCTGCACCGCTTGCTTGAATGCATTTCATCAGAAAGGAAGGAACTAAAAATCTACTCTGTACCAGGCAGAATGTTGTTTCTTCTTGATGTTATACCTTCTCATCCTTAAAAAAGTCACTATAAAATAATTATTATGTATGTTCTAGTTCATGCTACTAGTAAGTGGCAGAGTTTGGATTTGAAACCAAGAATTTTTTATACTAATGGCTTGAGTGTGTAAGAGGTACTTTTTGTTTGTTTAGTTTTAGTTTTGTTGTAAAACACCCCCAGTTTTGGGAGAGAGACAAAGGATACTTAGGACTATCTCGGATGTGGAACATCAGGTGACTCTTCATCATCTTTGGCTCATAGGGAAAAAATATGAGGGGTGTCCAAATTCCAGGAAAATATTTGAAAAATATTGGGAAAGAAACAGGTGAAGGTAGTTTTGTTTTGTTTCTTTTACCTGCACAGACAGACATACCTGTTTGTGTGTATGGTAATCAGTTTCCAATACCACGACTCTAAACTCTGCATGGTTGTTTTATGTCTTCAGATAATGTCTTTGGAATCATGGAGGGAAGTGTAATTTTTTTCCCAGTATTTTTTCTTTAATATATTTTACTTTTACTTAATTTTAAATAGATAACATATTAACACTTCATACAACCCCTTTAACTAGAATTCGTGTCTTCCTCAACCATGTGAGATAAGAAATATGCCTCTAATTTTGGCAATGGATCCACCATGTGATGTTGTGTTCTATTAAGGGTAATGACGGTGTTTGCTAAGGTTGCAGAGATCACTGAATGAAGTACTTCCTGGGAACTTTTTGTTAAATACTGGTGCTAAAGAGCAGTGGATACTGTTTCTTCAGTTGGGATCAAAGACTGAATTTCACACCACTTCTAATAGGGTCAGTATGCATCTGTGTAGTGGTAGTGTTTACAAGTCAATCTAATTTTTTGTTTACTTATACAGCTTTAAAGGTATAATTAGAAGACTCTTCTTATACAATGAATTTGTTTTTCCAAAGAAAATAATATTTATGGTAGTAAAGGCCCGTGGACAATGGGCAGATCTAGTTCCACCTGTATATTTTTAGAACCTGAGGGACTATGACTTCTGAACCAAGAAACATTAGGTGAGAATTGAGGAAATATGTTTATTTTATCTGATTTGGAAATTTATAAAAATATATGAAAATATATACAAGGTTTGCTAAGGAATTAAAGGTAATTGTTAAAATTATAATAAAAAATAAATTTGATGAGGTATAATGTTATATTTGTCTTTCATGAATTTTTGAAGTGGATGTGATGATACATTGTTTTATGCAACTTGTTCAATATTACTGTTTTCAAATGTTAGCTAATTTTAGATTATTGAATGATTTTACAGTTTGAAAGACTAGCTTAACTTATGAATCTCTAAAAATTGTAATTCAACATAACCTCAAAATTATGGCTTTTATTTATGGTAGTGAGACAGAAAATGTGTTTATTTATATTTGAAATGCTGATGTGTTCTAGTTAGAACTTCATTTTCTGAAATCCATTTACTCTATAGGTACTAATTGTATATTATATTAGGCACTGGTGTCTCAAAGCAAAGCAGAGAGCAAAACTAAGAAACTTAAGGTAAAATAGTAAAGTCAGATAAATAAACAGATGTTTACTATGTAAGGTAATACGTGAAGATACATAACAGAGGAGTATTACATCCACAGAGGAAGAGGCTGGGAAGGGGTGTCTGGGATGGCATCCTGGAAGGGACGATGTTATAGAAGTAGGAATATTGCCACATCAAAGTTACTGGAAGGGCATCCCAAGCAGGGGGACCCACATCTGCAAATGCCCAGAAGGTGGAAGTGAACAGAAAATGGCAAGTAGTAATCAGTGCAATTAGAGAGTGAAATGTGAGGAGGGGAATGATGAATCTGGAGATGTAGATAGCATCCAGACCTTGAAGAGTCTTTCTAAAGGATATGGATAATTCCAAGCTATAGATATTTTATTTTTCTTGTGTTTACCTGGAAAGCTCTCAGTAGGAAATAAAGAACTTCACTTAAAAGACTATCAGTAGGCAAAGTGAAATCTAAAAGATTTTTCTCTCTAATAGATTTTATATCTACTCCATGTCATCCCATTCAATTTGTAAATATCTCTTAGTTTTTTGAATGTTTCCCATTCAATTTGTAAATATCTCTATGATGTTTTTACTTAAAGAAATTAGTAGAGATATATTAGCAGCCTAAATATATTATTTATACCCAGTGGAAAAGCCTGGTTGTTTTCATTAAGTATTTAGGAAGAGGAGAAATTATTGTAATATTTTTTCCTGAAATGTTTTCATTAGTTAAATCCTTTGAATACTTGTTAAAGAAATATAGAACTGAGTCACTCTTTTATTTTTAAATACTGATACAAACACGAGAAATGCTAAAAGGTCAAGAAATATTTCAGTATACATAAATTCTGAAGATATTTCAATAATAATGGTAACTATCTTGACATTAATGCATTGAAGCCCATAGGTTCACCACCAGCTGCAAATCATTATGGTTGGTAATGGTCTAATGAGAGCAAAATTCTGCACTGGGCATTGAATGGAAAGAAATCTTGTATGTAAATGAAATATCACAACTGAGAATGATGTTAATTAAGAGTGAAATCATGAAAAAAATTGTATTATTTTTTGTATCCACTTTGGAAAAATCTAAGTTGGGAGGAAAATGAGATAGTTTTAATTTGTGAAAAACTTCAAGAGCTAAAATGTCTTTGTTTATATTTTAAGCTTTCTTCAGCCAAAGCCTTACAAGAATACTTAAATATTTTGGAAGTGGCTCATACGTAGTTTGATTTAAATTCTGATTCTGTGAGTGCAATTAAAAATCATCCAATAAAGATCATATAATGTAAATCTGTTAGATTTTATACCGTTTGGAACAAAATATCAAATATTTATGAATGCATATCTGAAAAAGAAAATATTTTCCATTTTTGTCACGTATTTCTTCAAGGACATAAAAGTATTTTACTTGATCAATCTCATAATGTATCTGTAAGGATGATAAAATGGAGGGCTTGTCATTTTATGTAGTTATTTGTTATTGTTTAGTAGATAGTTTTGGGTGCAAAGAAACAAAAAAATGAAATAGTCTGATTCAAGTTGACAAAGAGGGTGTGAACATTATGCTTAAGGAATTAAGTGAAATTTAGAAACAAAGCAAAACAAAACAAAATTGGAACCAAATCATGGCACATTATGAAAACCAGTGGAAAACAGCAGTTACCAGAATAGCAAGATGACCATACAACTACGAATCCCTGAAGTGGAAGCGTATCTGGGCCTTCAGCAGCACAAGTTCTTGGCTCTTCACTCTAGTGAAAGCAGAATATAGCATGCTGATTATGAGCTGACCTTATAGTTAGATAAGGCTTAGTTTGTCTTATTCCTGCTTTACTGCTTACTAGCTGAGTGGCATAGACAAGTTACCTTTCTACTGTAAAGTGTCCATAGTAATATTATTTACTTCTACAGTTATAAGCGTTAAAAGATATAATCTTTGTAAAAGTACTTCGTACATCATATTTAATGAACTGTAGCTGCCACCTTCTCCTCCTCTCCCTTTTTTCCTTTATCATTAGGACACTGACATTAATATAGTTCATAAATTTTCTATACTTCTGCTTCTCTCAGTATGTTTTCTCACTGGTCTCCACATTACCCACTGAATTAGCTTTCATTCATCTTTTCTTCAACTCGTAGCTGTGGTTTCCTCATAACTTTATCTTGTTTATAACTCTACTCTATGTCCTCTGTGGTCTGGTTTCCTCTGCCAGTGGCCTGATTATCTCTAAATTTTCTAAATCAAACTCCAAGGGGAAGAATCTGTCCCAATTGGTTTTACTTTGAGTGAAGATTCTAGTGTCATGTCATACCTTAGTCTGGTCTGTGACTCTGTGAAGCTCAGGTAAATAACTTGTTGAGTTCCATGGTACATCTGGTGCTGGCCAACTGAGACAGCGGTGGGCCATTTTACTGAGAGGGGAGTGATCATGGCTGTCATATGCCTACTACATCTAAATAAATAAGCATAAAAAGTTAAGATTAAACAATATACCAAATTATAGAACCAGTGTGAGTAGTAAGGCTGGGTCTTGAATAATGATCTTATGTCTCCCAATCCAACGCTCTTTTGAATAGACTTTAAATATTCTTGGTAATCTTGAAATTTTTGCATCATTATAAAATTTCTGTGCAAATTATTGGATAATTTTGCTACTTATAATTTCAAAAAAATCCTTAAGTATCAGAATTTTATTATTTGTTTTAGTTTAAACTAAATTCTATTCCATGTCTTGAAAACCAATGTTTTGTTTTCAAATGTCTTATTTATAATTGAATTCTATTGACTTGTTATATTTGTTTTAACTTTTCTTAGGCTGCTAAGTTGGCTATTACAGTGCAAGCCTTGGAGTCCCAATGGGGGACTCTGGATCAAGACGATCTACCCTGGTCTCCCGGTTGCCAATATTCAGAAGAAGTATTAGCAGAAGACATGATTCTCTTCCTTCCTCACCATCCTCCAGTAATACAGTTGGGGTCCACAGTTCCTCTCCTTCCAGCACTAACTCAAGCTCAGGTAGTACAGGTAAACGCAGGAGCATCTTCCGTACTCCTTCCATTAGTTTCCACCATAAGAAGGGAAGTGAACCTAAGCAAGAACCTACAAACCAGAGTGTTAGTATTTCAAATGGTGCTGAAACTGGTCACAGCAGTATGCAAAAACTGAGTGTGGAAGAACATATTAAAACCAGGGGAAGACATTCTGTTGGTTTTAGTAGTTCACGAAATAAGAAAATAACAAGATCTTTGACAGAGGATTTTGAAAGGGAAAAAGAGCACTCAACTAATAAGAATGTCTTTATAAATTGCCTAAGTTCTGGCAAAAGTGAGGGGGATGATTCTGGATTCACAGAAGAACAAACTCGCCGTTCCGTTAAGCAGTCAACAAAGAAGCTGCTTACTAAATCTTTTTCGTCTCACCATAAATTTTCTAAGCCTGTTCCACAGAGCCAATCCGTTTCATTGGTACAACAATCTGGATTCTCGTTGGAAATTACACAGTACCAAGAGAGGGAACCTGTGTTAGTAAGAGCTTCTCCATCTTGTTCTGTGGATGTAACAGAACGGGCAGGAAGCTCTTTGCAATCTCCATTGCTTTCTGCTGATCTTACCACAGCTCAGACACCTTCAGAGTTCTTAGCCTTGACTGAAGATTCTGTGTCTGAAGTGGATGCGTTTCCTAAAAGTGGAAGCATGGCATCCCACTGTGATAACTTTGGCCACAATGATTCTACCTCTCAGATTTCTCCCAATCCTGCTGCTGTTACAAAGACAATAGACCTTATGGGAACTGTTTCCTGTGCAATTATGTCTCCTGGGAAATACAGGTTAGAAGGTCGATATAGCACTGAATCTAATTCCTTACCAGAAACCTCTGCTGCTAATCAGAAGGAAGTGTTATTGCAAATCACTGAACTACCTATTATGAATGGAAGTGACTCAGAGCCTCACCTGTCAGCAAATACGCAAAGAGAACAACATATGGTGTTACAGAATGGTGAAACAATGCTGGCGACAAGCTCCCCCAAAAAACTTGGATTTTACGAGCAACACAAAGCAATAGCTGAACGTGTTAAAGGGATCCATCCTATTTCAGATTCAAGGATAATACCCTCTTCCGGTGATCATCATGTTTTTAGCAAAACATCGTATGGATGTGACGCAAATCCTGCTAGAGGTATGCTTATTTTCTTTGTATAATAAAGGATATGAATTAGGATTTTCATTATAATTAAGCAATTTTCTTATTCCATCTCATGAATGAAAACCACATTTTCTTTATTTTTCACTCTAATATTCTTTCTTATTTATAGTTTTATTTATTTATTTATTTATTTTTGGTGAGGAAGATCAGCCCTGAGCTAACATCTGCCAGTCCTCCTCTTTTTTGCTGAGGAAGACTGGCCCTGGGCTAACATCTGTGCCCATCTTCCTCCACTTTATATGGGATGCCACCGCAGCATGGCTTGACAAGTGGTGTGTCAGTGTGCGCCTGGGATCCAAACCAGCGAACCCCGGGCCGCCGCAGCGGAGTGCGGGCACTTAACCGCTTGTGCCACCGGGCCGGCCCCTATAGTTTGTTTTAAATAGTTTCTCTACTTAATTTTAAACTTACTTCAGTTGTATTATACTGAGAATGTAATTCAGCAGTATTCCTCATTTTTCTTAGTTCTGTTATCCGGATTCTGACCCTCAGAAGAAAATGGAAGGAAACTAATTTTATTTGCAATGTGGCTTTATCTAAAATAAGGACTATATTTTTTAGAATTTATGATCGAGTATTGGTATTTCATAGTTAATGAAATGGATATATTCCAGCCAAAATCATCATAAGAGAAATTGTATAATTTAAATTCTATTTCCTATTTTAACAAAGCTTTCATTATTATATAGGATTCGTGTTTTGGTACAAATAATCTCTATCTCTAGATACAATAGAATTGCAACCTTTAAAAAGACTGTCTTTGGAGCCTGGAGACTCTGGTTCTAACCTTGCTTCTGTAACTGACTACCTGTGTAACCTTGGGTACCTTCTCTTTGGTTTAAAAAATGGGGGAAGAGAGTCTGAATTACTCCAATCTGTTATTTAACAGAAAACTTTGTTACTTAATATAAAATTCAGTTCAAGAGAATTGTTGAATATATACCACCTACTGGGCTGTATTTGACATTATTTTTTATTCTTTTTTTCTCTACTATGATTACTACTACCAGTGCTACTGCTGTTGCTACTACTACTAGTAGTAATAGTTCTTCCAACCCTCAATGATTATGTCCCGTTTACTGTTCTGTGCCCTTTGGATGCATTAATTCACTGAATCCTGAAATGACTGAAATCACTACTCTTATTGTAACATACGTTACAGGCAAGACGGTGGGAGCACAGAGAGGTTAAGCCGTGTGTCTGAAGTCACAAAGTTAGTAAGTAATTGTTTGGCAAACTGTATGAGATAGGCACTAGTATGTTCCCCATTTTACAAATAAGAAAACTGAGACCAAGGGATTATACGGCTGGTAAGTAACAGAGCATTACATTACTCAATAACATTGAGTAATTATCTCAAGCCACAGCTCAGACTCTTAATGACTAGGCTGTGTACTACACGTCATGACCCGGGCTTTTTCCAGAACGTTAAGAATAATACTAAAATATTAAATAAAATTCATGTCAAATTATATATTATAATATCAAGAATCATAAGATTATATGATTTATATAACTAGTTCCTCCATAAATATAGCAATTTTAAAGCTTTAAATGCATGAATTAATTTTCCAACTGTGTTAATATTTTTCACATTTGATACAAGATCACTTTTGTCCATCTGCCTACTTTTTTCATTTTGATCTTGGTAGCCTTGTTTGTACTTTTGGCTTTAGTTATACTTGCTTAGTTCTTTAACTATAATATAATGATAAGAATGATGATGGTCATCCTTTTTGTATGCTTAATATGTGCCAAAAATGTGCTAAGCAATTTACATGGTTTTGTTTCATTTAATCCGAACCAAAATTTCATGTGGCAATTATTAAAAACTAAGATTTAAGATTAAGTTAATAACTTTAAGAAATCACATTGTTAGCAAATGGTGGACCTCAGATTGGAATTTAAGCAGTTTTTAAAAGAACACAAAAAAAGGGGAGAAATATAATTATCTTGATTATATCTAATTCTCATTTAGAAATGACGACTTGCCTCAATGTTGAATTGAATACTGTATGTTGCTTATCTCTATGGAAACTAGAGAATGACCAACAATTATCTTGCTTGCTATTATTAATCTGTTGGCTGAGATCCTAAATTGCAAGCAGTTTGACACGTTAAACTAATTTCACTGAATTTGACAATGTGATGCCTATTCTTGGACATTAGCTGAGTATTCGTATTATCTACAACTTGTAAAATATAGAGAAATAGGCAAATAAACTGGGCATGTCAACAAGGGAAAGATGATAGTATGCTATCCTTCATTTTGTGGAGATGTTCATCTGTTCATAAGGATATAATTTGGAAGTTTAAAATTTTAAAACCAGTTAGGTAAATTTATTTTATGCAAGAAAGAGTTGCTAAATTGCATAATATTAAATTTATTCTGTATTTACTATGAAACATGTTTAAGCTAGTATTTAATGCAGATCTGAATGTATTAGGTGTACATTTATATCAAAATTAATAATGGAATGTTGAGCTCGCTGGCAATTTAACTTTTATTCATTGGCTTAAAAAGTTACTTAAAAAGAACTACTGTATGTTGGCCTAATAGGTAATAGCCAAAAGTCTTTAAACCAGTAGATGGTCCTAAATAGAACAGTTCATTCATTCATTCATTCAACAAATATTTGTTTTGGCACTGTTTCAGGCGCTAAGGTTATGGCAATGAACAAAACTTACTGAAGTTAAAACTTCATGAAGCTTACTTTCTACTAGGAATACTCAGTTAACATACAAATAAATAAATGTCAGATGGTGATAACTACTGAGGATAAGTTTAAAGCAGAATAAAGGATCCTCTGGGGGGTGGGATTGTAGTTGGCATTTTTTTCGGCTTTATTGAGGTATAATTGACAAATAAAATTGTAAGATATTTAAAGTCTACAACGTGATGATTTGATATACTTATACATTGTGAAAGGATTCCCCCCATCCGAGTTAATTAACACATTCATCACCTCATATGTTTACCCTTTCGTTTCAAAGAACATTTAAGTTCTGCTCTCAGCAAATTTCAGTTATACAATACAGTGTTATCAGCTATCTCACCCTGTTAAATAGATCCTCGGACTTTATTCATCTTATAACTGAAAGTTTGTACCCTTTTACCAACCTCTCCCTATTTCCCCCATCCCCAGCCCCTGGCAACCACTTTTCTATTCTTTGTTTTTATGAGTTTGACTTTTTTATTTTTGTTTTAGTTTCCATGTATAAGTGACACCATGCAGTATTTGTCTTTCTCTGTCTGGCTTATTTCACTTAGCATAATGCCCTCCAGGTTCCTCTGTGTTGTCACAAATGACAGGATGTCCTTCTTTTTTAAGGTTGAATAATATTCCATATTTTCTTTATCCATTCATCCATCAACACACACTTAGGTTGTTTCCATACCTTGGCTGTTGTGCATAATGCTGCTGTGAACATGTGAGTACAGATATCTCTTTGAGATAATGATTTCATTTCCTTGGGATATATACCTGGAAGTGGGATTGCAGGATCATATAAATCTATTTTTAATTTCTTGAAGAATTTCCATACTGTTTTTTTTTTTTTTTTTTTTTA